ATTCAAAAATCACGATAATGTCCTCTGTGGCTTAAAGGAGATTTCTTTCTCTCGTTACTTAAGACTTGGGATTCCCCAGATTACCAGAAGAAGAGGGAGCAAGCAAAACAGAACTAGCTATCATATTATGGCGGCATGGGGCCTTCAATATACACTGGTGGGGTGGTGGGGTGCCCCCACATACAAAATACAAACGGAGGCTAGTAGGATTTCATTCATAATTTAAAGTTTTATATAGTTTGAATATGTATTCTAACTAATTTGTTATATGAATAGGTTGTGGAAATAAGACGAGCCATCGGCCACCGATGTACATGATTGCACTCATTGGAGACAGTCGGACCAGTTCTGGATCAACAACAGATCTCACAGGTAATCCAAAAGCTAAACTAATTTGATATTAAGACATGCTAGCTGTAATTGAATATAACTCCTCTTTTTTATAGAATAGATTCCAGCCGCTGAAGGAGAGAAGATCCCAGGCATCATAAGATATTACGATCCGCGAGCGTGATCCTTCCGAGTACGACCTGTGGAGAGAGGCTGATAGAGGAAAGATAAAAGGTCGAGTCTATAAGCTCGGGTTGTAGGGGTTTTCTTACGCGCTCTCCCTTCTACCAGTGCATCTAGAGCTTCCACCTCTACTGTACAAAATGAGGATAACACTAGGCACATTGTCATATTTGTTGTCGAAATGGAGGCCCGCTTCTCTTAGATGAGGTCGTAGCTGAATTCGAGCATCGAGGTCAAGCTGAAGAACGAGGTCAAGTTGTTATGACAAATGATGAGGTAGTGTAGTGAGGCGGCATTGGAGGAGGAAGAGACGGAGGACGGTGAGGATGAGGAGATAGAAAAGGATGATTAGAGGAATTTTTTTTTCTTTTAAGTTTATGTTGTGCATTTGAACATTTAGTTTTTCTGTGAACAGTGATGTATATTTTTTCAAGTAAATGCCTTTGATTTATATCATTATTTGATTGAATAATTTGTTATTCAAGTGCTATTCTAGTTCGTTAAATACTTGGAATGTATATTAGATGTTGTGATAACATGTGTGGTAATGTAAATATGAAATAGGAAATCTTTTTTTTGTTTTTGTTGCTACAAGTTTCCTACGATTTATCATCAGTTTTGCGACTACCTGCAACATATCCGTAGGCAAACCGACAGCTAGTCGATGGACTTATTTACCAGCACATATCCAACACTGAGCCGATAGTTTAGATACTTCACACAAAAGCGACGAGTGCGACACTTTTATTATAACTGATGGATTAGAGACACCAAATCAACAGAACACCTGAGTCATTCTAAAATGACAGGTGCGACACTTTTTTGACAGTTTAGCAGTCGATTTATATAATTGACACTTTAGCGACTTGTAACCAATGGAAAAACTACTTCAAAAAAGTGATGGGAGCGACACTTTTCTTATGTGTAAACTGTCGCTATTAATGACAGATCAACCGTCGATTATATGAACCGTTGGGATCCGACAATTCGAATTTACAAAAATAGCTACTACATCAAATCTTCAGTAATTAATTGTCGTCGGAATTTCAGATGGTTCTGAAATTACCGACAAATATTTTACCTATAAGCTTACAACCGTTGATAAACCGTTACAAGCAGTAAAAATGACTGTTTTCCTCATCATAACCGACGGAATTTGATCGTCGGAAAAAAAAAAACATTTTTTTTCTTGTAGCGATATGCGATAGATGTCTTTTTATTGACATCACTAACAATCATAGTGATGCATTATGCAAAAGGTTGATCATCAAAGGCAAAATTTGATGACCATAACAGTACCATAAAAAAAAAATTGAAAATATTTCCTTGAAATAATTCCAAGAATCAAGTTATTTGTTCAAGAACATTCAATGGTAGGAACCTAATAAACAACCATCAATACAAGCATGACACATTCATAAAATATAGCTGATGAATATAAAGAATATAGTAAGAAATGAATTTTTCAAGCTTGAGAAGTCATTGTTATTGAATATCCCTATTTTCTTATTATTTCTGTCCTGCATCCTACTTCCATGGAGCATCTTTCAGATGGCATTTGAAATCCATTTGATGCTGCAGTGCCATTAAAATATTATTATGTATTTTATTTATATTCATTCAATTCAAAGATTTTAGCATTTTAAGGATTATAAAAAGAGAACATTAAGGTGTGTTTGGGGCAGCTTTGCGTTTTAGGTAAAGCTGAAACGCGACCTGCGGGTCGACTGCTGGGTTCAACACGCGGACTGCGTTTAGTGTAAAAATGGAACTGCATTCTTGGATAAGCGGGCAAAACGCGCGAACCAAATGGTACCGCGGCGTTTTCAAAAACGCCTCCGCACTTATAATCTGCCTCAAATGGGCCCTTAAAGATGCCCGACGAGCTATCGAAGCTGAGAACTTTGACAGACATCTGAATATTGTTAAATACATTTATGAATACTATCACAGTTTTATTAATAAGATTAACGAACAAATGTGACTAAATACTAATTATTAAATTAAAAAAAGAATATTTATGATTTTTTAAATTATTATTTATTATTTATATTATATACTTTGTAGTTGTTATTCTTTCTATGAAAATGTGGAATCAATTTCTAAAATTTACAAAATCATCACTCAATTTATATATATTTACATATCTAATAACTAAATTTAAATTTTAACATGTATATACAACTTTACTTCAAAAATAAAAGGAGTGCTTCCCTTAATAAAAGTGAAGGATGGATTTTTGTTGCGATATGAAAGATTTATGTGGTATAAATATAAAAGGTAAAATTTAGATGTTATATATGTAAATAGTTAGGACTTGGGTAGTATATATGTAAATGAAATTCAAGAAAATATTTTAACCTGTTTAATTGTAAATATATATGCATAACACATATGTAAGATTTTTAATTTATTATATTTAATTTAAAATCTTGACTTTCGACAGTCTTTTCGAATAGATTTTAAAATAGGATCGAACAAATTTCAATGTTCGAGTTTGCTAAATCAAGTTTATTAGTGACGGTTGGGATCGGTTTATTGGTTGGATTGTGATTTATGACTTTATAGATTCGAGACCGAATCCCATCAAAAAGATAAATGGATTAATGTATATATTTGAAAACTCAACACAATTAATATATATATATAGTTCATATATATATATATATATATAAATGACCAGAGACTATTATACGAGTCTCCAATCACCCTTAATGTGCCTAAAAATTCGAGTATCACTTCCTTAAGACCAACAGTGCCAGAGAGGATTCAAACCCCCGACCTGAGGGGTCTTGTACCATGGATGTCAACCAACAGACCAAAGTATATGATACACACACACACACACACACGGATATATATATATATAAATATTGTGTGCTCGCGCTCGCCATCATTTAATTATTATATTAATTAAAAATATAAAATTTTGCTTACCATATTAGAAAGAGTTGGTTGGTTTTGACAAATACATATTATGATACATCTAAGTGCATATAAAAATCATAAATATTGAATAAGTGATATTACTAAATAAATTATCCACTTAGAGAGGGATACAATTAAGACTTTATGGCCACCTTAAGTATTTCTTACAAAATTTATTTTGATCATAGTTTTTTTTTTTTATTCTTTTAAGTTGTAATAAAATCTCATATAAATAGCCTACATAAAAATATCCAAATTATGTAATATAATCTCTCCAAAATTCCCTCCAAATGGTTAGGAAATAGCTAACCAGTGATTATTTAAAATCCTCCCAACGCTCTACTTTTGCAAAAAATATATATATAATATTTTAAAATTTAAATAAATTTATTATTTTCTTAAGAATATACTTAGTAATATATGAAAACACATACAAATAACTCTATAAACTCAATGAAATAGAAATTAGATAGAAATCATGAAGCTTAAATAGTGGTTTCAATGTGTTTGTCAGTCATGCACATGCATGAGGGAGAGAGAGAGAGAGATCATTATAAAATTAGGCAAATAAAGTTTAAATCCTAAAATTTTTGTAGGCTAAAAATTGATTATCCTTAATTAGTATAATTGTTATATTGAAAAAAAAAATGTAAAAATAAATTCAAATAAATTTCAAAATGTTCTAACTAAATCTAGAATAATGTAAACAAATTTTAGTTTAATTTACATTTGTCTTTTTACTCTTTAAGCTATTTGGTAAACTAAGACTTAGTCAAATATAGTGAATTTTAAACTCTAAACACCATGTTTGCCTTAAGTTTTGTAGCCCTCCCACTTCATTATTTAACTATTTCAATTAGTAAGCCTTCCAAGCATGATCAAATGACTTGATGGTTGCCATGAAATTATAAATTTTGATTAGTCACCTAAGAAGCACTAGATGACACTACATGATACTTGCAAAAATCAAAGCTATAGAAAAGTATATGCTCCCACAACAACCACATGTGCATTCTTTATATAATTATACCGTATAGTCAATCTCTTTTTATGGAGGTTACTAATCATTTGCAAATAATCAAATGATTTATAAGATTAATCTCTAGCCAAATGGGATTAATACTACTCTTGAAGAAGCCATAGATTACTCTTAGATTCTTTAAATTAAACAAATTAAAGTGGTAGGTATTAAACATTTAAAAATACATGTGTTGTCAACTTATTATACCTTTTCTCCTTGTTTAATGGTTGCTAGATTTCTCCCTTTTTAGAATCTTTCATGGTCAAGGTACCAAAACAAAGAGATTTATACAGGTGCCACTCAATTCTTATATATGTATTTCCGTGTCTGACACGTAAACTTTAAATTTTTACATACATGTCAGCTTATTTATACATGAAAATGTGTATTTCACTTTCTAAAAGTTAAAATAGACGTGTTTCTTTATTTGAGTCGTATAAATGTAAAAAAAAAAAAAAATAGTTTAGGTATTAGATGTGTAAATACATTGGAATTGGGTGGTATGAATGTAAACCAGAAGTAATTCCCACCATTTTTTAAGAAATAAAAATAGATAAAGCATTATGAGCTATAGCAAACTCTTCTCTGATCTCATATGGGATTCGATAAGATCCTTTGATTTATAATATGATAAAAGGCTGCCTGGCAACCGTTTCCAAGGCGTTCTGAAAACTATTTATATGTTCATTATGTGCAGACAAAACATCCTCTTGCATTCTTTAGATGGCATTATACTTTTCTTGACTCCAAAGCTTCTAAATTTTTTGTTGCAATTAGGTATTAGTTTGCCGGAGATGAACCAGAACGTATAGTCCAACAGAATCCATGAAGTCATCTAGCTTCATGCTCAAATTGTGCAAAGGTTCTGAGGATTGGAGCATAAATTTGTTTTAAACAAAAAGAAAAGAAAAGAAATGATTCTTTATATGAGAAGGACCAATCAAGTTATTAAAACCATGTAAATCAAATTCAAGCAGTTGTTTGCTAAAAATTGACTTGACTTTCTTACAACTGGAAGCTCAAATTTAGAAAAACTCAAAGGCCATGAGTTGCGTAGAGTAAGATTTTTAGATAAGATAGATGCCCGTTAGTTGACTCTGGGTCAACAGTCAGCCATAAGCTATTGAATTTGTTGTCTCATGAAGTTTCCCATTAGCTGATGAGGGTATTGGGCTCATAAAATATTGTTCAGCCCACATTAAGTTCTGCAAGCCAACTTGAGAACAAAAAACTTGCCGCTCCTCAGTTAATTACAAAGTTGAATATATATATATATATATATATATATACAATTTTGAAGCCTTCAATTTTTAAAATATTATTCACGATGATAGAGATATGAGTGTCCGAAGATTCACGATGATAGAGTGATATCTATTGCTATAGTGTTGCACGCAGATCAAATACAGACACAGATAATAAAAAATTAGTAGAAAACGACATCAAAAAATTTTACGCTGAAAAACTATGGAAAGAGAAAAAATCATAGGGTCTAGCTTAGCCATAATATATCACCATATAATTGTAAATACTTAGTGCACTGTTCTTTTGAATTGGAGAGCATGGAACTATAATGATGATAATTACATATGTATAATATTAGTTTAGCTATAACATCCATAATTGATCTACAATAAGTGTGGTTCTTGGCGGTAATAATATTTAGCCACAAATGTTGTGGTAAGATGTTACAAAAGTTGTAGTTGATCATAAAAGCTGTAGTCAATGATTGCAATAGCAATAGTTGGTCACAAAGGTTGTAGGCGAGAACTACAACAGTGTCAATGATTCACAAAAGACTGTAATAACTGAACACATAAGTTGTAGTTGGAAGCTACAAGAGCGTCAGTTGGCTATAAATGTTGTAGTGAGAAGCTACAATACTAATTGACAATATAAGTAGTAGTTGGTAGCTGCATAGGTGTTGGTTATCCATAGAGGTCATGTTAGAAAGTTGTAATAGTAAATGATCATATAAGTCATAGTCAGTAGCTGCAAGAGTGTCAGTTGATTACAAAGATCGCAATGAGAAACTATAATAGCAACTGACCACATAGGCCGTAATTAGTATGTGTAATAATAGTTAGCCTTATAGATTGTAGTTGGCCACATATATTGTAGTCGGTTGTCGCAGAAGTGTCAGTTGGCCATAGAGGCTGTAATTGAAAGCTAAAATAATAGTTGATAATATAGGTCGTAGTTTCTCACATAGGTCAAAGTTGGTATTATAATATCGCTTAGTCAAATAGACCATAGTTAATTTTTGCAATAGCATCAATGGGTCATGAATGTCGTAGTTTAAAGTTGTAGTGGCAATTAGCGACATTGGTCATAGTTGGTCATATGGGTCGTAATAGTTTATTGCAACAATGTCAATTACGCACAAATTATGTAGTTGGAATCTGATATATCAATTATCCATCTAGGTCATAGTTAGTCACATAAGATGTAGTTCATGTATAGTTATAGTAGCATGGAAAAAACTTCAGGAGTTAGAAGAAAGCTATTGTATTATGACTATGATAATTGTAAGCAGTTGTCATTATCAACGAATTTTCAATATCATGTTATTCGTTTACACCGTATTCGGGATATGTTGTTTCACCATATTGAGGATAAGTTATGCGATATTTGAGATACATCATTATCCCGTATTCGAGATATGTCGTTAGCTAGCAGAGTTCACCAACGATGATGAACACGGGTGACCAGTGGCGGTCATGACGGTTGTTAGTTGACGACGACAGGCAAGTAATGGTCCACAGTAGTTGGTGGTTATAAAGTCCAAGAATTATCATTTGAACTTCAATACGACATTAATAATTAAACTGCATTTATGATAAATTATTATATAGTTTTCAGGATACGTCATTACACCGTATTTGAGGTACATCATTATACCATATTTTGATACATCTTTAGCTAGTAGAATTCATCGATAGTGGCGAACAGAGGCGATCGACAGTAAAAAGCAGGTGATAGGTGGTGGTGAATTATGTGTGAGGGTTACAGATGCCAGAAGAGAACATTAGGACCTTAATAATGCATTATCTATTTCACCATATTTGGGATATGTTATTGCACTATATTCAAGATAGGTGTTGCACCGTATTTGGGATATATCATTATTTAGAAAAGTTTACTAACAATGGCAAGCAGAGGAGGCTGGTAGTCTTTAACAGCAATCGTTGAGTAGTGGTCAATGGTGGTTTGCGACTATGAAGTACGAAAGTTATCACCAAGACTTTTAGACGATATTTGATACACGCATTTGAGAGTCTTTACACCAAATTTTGGATATGTCGTTACATCGTATTTGGGATAAGTCGTTGCACTATATTCAAGAAGCATTGTTAGTAACAGTATTCATTGATGGCAGTGAGCAAGGACAGCTGTCAGTTTTTTATGGTGACTTGCAGGTGGTTTTAATGGTGGTCGACGACTATGAATGTAAGTTTTCATCGAGACTTTAATATGACGTTATCCGTTACATCACATTTGAGATACATTGTTACACCGTATTTGAGATACACATTACACCATATTTAAGATACATTATTAGATAGTAGAGTTCATCGATGTCGGTGAGGAAGGGTGGTTGGTGGTGTTCGACAGCGTCCGATGGGTGATAGTAGAAAGTGTTTGACAACTAAGGAGGTAGGAAGTTATCGTCGAGTCTACAGTACAGACTAGCATTGGAATTCAAACCAATAAATATGCTTAAATGGCTTGAGATGGAATTGATCGGATTTGGATCAAACCAATTTTGATATCATCACATTCAACTTATTGAGATGGTCACCATATACTTGTTGAAAATGGCGGTGAATGATCATTAATTCAACTATGAAACATTTATTATTCAAAAAATGCATCAAGATTCATGTCAGAAGATAAAAAATTATTAAATATATTATATAACTTGAATACGTATAGTCAACTTTTTAACTCAGAATTTAATTCCTAGCTATACATACAGGGCACTGCTGAGCATCAATAAAAAAATTGACATGCAAATCAAATAAGAAAATCAAATATGCAAAGCCAGAAATAAAATTCTCAATAAGTTCTCTCTGAATTGTTCTTAGTAACTTGAGGTGGCTCACTCTCCTCGATTTAAATTGTTCAAATGGTTCTATGTAAACTCATTTACAAGGGAATCATCTCTATAGCAAGAGATACTTAGAGGCTAGTTGCAGTTGCCTAGTCTTCCCTAGTCGCAGTTGCCCACCTCTGATTCTTGCAGGCACTCGGGTGGAAATTGTGAAAAGCCTCACTTAAACAAGAAAAAAACATTTGTAACTATTTAAATATGTTATCTCCTATTACAAAGTTTTTTTTTGGAGGAAATACTATTAGAAAACTATCCATAGCTATTAAATTGTCATTTAGATTAAATTTATCATTATAAAATAAAAAGTCATTGGGATTTTCTTCGAGTCAATTTATGTTTCCTCAACCACTAAACCCGTAAGCCATTTTTATGTAGAGAACTTAGACGAAAAAGTTGAAGCTAATGAACTTCAAGTTGATGTTTAGTGCAATACAAATTTCAGACAAAATTGCTTAAAAATCAATTTTGATAATATTATAATAAATCCCAAAATAAAAAAATATATATATATTTAAATTATCACTTGAATGATTGTGATAGCGTGTAAACTGTTTAGTTACAAGAAGGGTCATGCCAAGCTCATGGCCATGATATATCTTAGACAAATTGATTTGGCTCACAATTAGATGTCCATACTTTAGTTACATTCTTTATAATCTAACTAACCCAACGATTGAACTAAATTAACTTAGTTGATTCAATTTGACCAAAATAAATCTAAATAAGATAATTCAATTATATTTATGTTAGTCATTAAATTATCCTAATTAATTTGGCATGTAACATTTTTAGGATGGTGGTGACTTGGCCCAACTCTAGTGAACTCAATATGATCATGTTGAAAATCTATATAGATTCAACCACCAATCAAATTGGCTTAATTTATTTGACATGGACGTCTTTGATGATGCCTAAAATTGAAACCTAACTAACTTGGCCCATTTTGCCTATTGGATCAGATCAATTTCGCCATAGGATCCAGGTTATCTTAAAATGAACCTTAGAGAACTAATAGAGAAAATTTGTTCTTAACATTGAAAGTTGTTAAAGCTACTAGATATGAAACGAGCATAGGATGTTATTGGTTTATACTAGCCATGGTCAACCCATTTGTCATATGGTTTAACTAAATTTGATCAACTCTCAACTTGAACTAATTGAACCGCTTTAAGTTGGTAAGAACAAAAACCCATAAAATGGCCAATTCATATAACTAATTAAGCTCTTTGGCTAAGTGACTATACAAACTTAGATAGAAAGCGTAACCCATGATAAAGCCATTTTCTTTGGTTAAACTAAACATAGAAAGGGATAAAAATAATACACTTGGCCAATAGGATTTAAGCTCCCTTAACCCTGGTACTACATTTGAGAAGCCTAGTCGATTCATCTCTACCTTCCACCTAGCCTTCATGCCAACCACCAACAAATACCCAAGGTGAATACCATGGCTAAGTGCTTAAAATATAGATGTTTAAGAAATTAGCCATATAAAAGCTCTCAACTATCTAGGACACCTTTTTTGGACTTTAAAAAGCTTCTAGAACCTTTAAACTAATGAGCTTAAATAGTTTAGGTAGCTCTAGCCTCCAATCGCACTCCATGAGAAAATTTGGTTTGATTGACCCATCAATTTAGAGCTATTATAACAAATGATAAAATTCTTTGCTTCATCTCACCTCCTTGAAGGTGAGGAGAAAAAATCTACAATTGTAATATTCCATGCAATTGAATTTCTCAAACCTTAGCAT